GGTACAGGGAGAAGTCAGCATGACTTATCCACTGCTCGATGGCTCGAGCAGTATGTAGCAGGTGGCAGGTCGTCACCTCCGATAAGAACTCACTGAGGCGGGCGCAGAGGTCATGATTGGGCGCAAAATCAATTTCGAAGAGGCGTGGGCTGCGAACCCAACGCGAGAGGAACATCATAACTCTGAAAAAAAGGGGAGAAAAATATGAGAGTATAAGAGTGGAGGTAATCTGGATTCATAGCAGCTTTTAGCCAATACCTGTGCCGCCAGTATGGTAAATAATTACATAAGTTATACTACTAGCTGCGTGTTGACAGCCTGTAAATATCACGCAGTTATCCCACATTGGCTGACGGACTTTGCCCTAAATATTTACATCAAATTACGGTCTGCGCCCGTATACTGATCCAGTCCAAGTTAGAACTTAATTTCTGAGGAAATTAAAAAAGCTACAAGTACATTTACAAACGTCAAAACCAGCCGGAAACTGACGACTATGATTTGACCGTCTGGCGAGAGTCCCATTATCCGTCCGTTCCCACTGGCAGTCTAGAACAAAAGCAGGCCGTCGCTTTTGTTGTCAAAAAATCAGACGGGGCGACGGAGTAAGATCGCACGAGAGGTTACCGAGACGTAGGAATCCGGTCGGTCACGAGGTGCGTCAAGCTCAGTCTAGCCTTTCCCCCGCTCCTCGACAGTTCGAGCGTCTATTCCGACGACGTCCACAGTGTGATCCACAGCGTGGTGCTGTAGGGACGGTGACTTACGCGTGGATTTGTAGCGGTCTAAGCAGTGGGTGTACTGGGATCACTACAATCATCAGGCCAAATCCCAGGTTGAAGGCGAAGGCCACATGTGAGAGAGATTTATTGTGTACAGAACTCCTTATTTCTGGCCCAGGCGACAGTGACCACGGGTGAAGCCAGGGCTAGTGATGGCTGCGTCTAGCCAGACCTGAGAGAAAATGAGACAGTGATGGCAGCTGCTTAAGTAGGATTGCAGAACAGGTTCAACTGTCCTCCATTTGGTGTGTGCGTGTGTGTGACGTTACCACAGGGGTGTCTGGCTGGCTAGTAGCCCTTGTTGGATCCGAAGCCCCGCCGGGTGGCCCT